GACGGAAATCTAGATAAATCTAAGGCCGGTAAAGAAAGATCTTTCGACGCTACATGCCCTGTTATTGGCCTAGGATGCGCCATTGCACATTGCATCAGTGAGGCAACTGCAACGTCATCCCTAACATGAATAAGATTTTGAAGAAAAGAAAAACACCCTCAGCTGGCTCAGATGTGAATGCAACCTTTAAATATTCTGAACACGTGAACAAAAACATATTGCCTTTTTCTGCTACAGGGATCGACTGCGAGTAGAATGATTCGGGAAGTGCTTTCTTAAATAGAACAGTGTGCGTTTTATACAGCTGATCAATTATAAAACGGAAAGAAAAGGCAGTGGCTCGGTATCACTAAGGTGTAAGAACTATGTGTTATACCACTAATTTGAAGAGTAGAGCTTGTCGTTATCTAGGAGGATTGATTAAGGAATAGCATTGATGAGAAAGCAAACATAGTAAACACTTTCCTTTATTACGTTTGATTTGAGCGAGTTGACATGGTAGGGGCCAGCTTAGACAGCTGTTGTTGCAATGAGTTGTTCAAGGTTAACTGCTCTTTGTCGTTTTCAGTACAGTTTGGTTTATCAAGAAATCTGTATCTTTCCTCAGTCCCCGACGATCCCTACATTCAAGTTTTCTGATGATTTTAACCTCAAGATGCGAAAAGTAAACAAGCAGTAGCAGCTGCCGCAGTCTCAGTTAATTCGGATGGGTAAGACATCTTCTAATGTCGTGAAATGTTTACGTGACATTCGTGGGAAATTAAAGTAAACTAAAACATTCTATCCACTTGTTTATATTCCCATGGCTCACAAGAGAGGATATACTTTTAAATTTAGAGCTTGCAGGTGATTTAACATCCATTGAATGTTACTCTGTCTGGTCCATGAAGAAAATTGATGAGACGTGTGTGAATTAAGGCTTCATAACTTAAAAATAGTTTGCATGATCTTTGCAGAAACCGAACATAAACATCTAAGTCAAAACGACCGACGGTAAAGTCATAGTGTGGGTAGTGATAAAACTTTTGGAACTATCACAATGAAGAATTCTAGCTTGATCTTTTCTTTCCGGAGCGTATTATTTTTATATTTCTGAGCCATTAAAGGCAAGAAAAATAAAGCTCAAAATGAAAGTGGCTTCAGTCAAAGGGCTTTCATTAACAGGTCTGTAAATTTTATTCTATTGGGTGTCGACAGGTCTCTGGTTGATGTGCTCCAAAAAAAATTCAAGGAGAACACATTCAAATGAATTAAAATTTGACAAAAATCTCCAAGAATCAACAACCTCCTAAAGTCTACGGCACGGCATGTAAGCAAAAAGTACCTGTACTTAAAACGAAAACTGGCGAATTGGAATCAACTTTTTAAAAGGAACTCGAGTTCGAATAATATTCGTGGAAATATGAAATAAGCTGTAGTGATGCAAAATCTGATCAAATAAAACTTAATTTAAGAGCGCTCCTGTCGTATTTACTTTTTCATAAAACTATTCCTTGGCTGATCCTCATGAATAAAGGGAAAGTCAATAATTCAAAATTAATTGAAATAGCATTGATGAGAAAGCAAACATAGTAAACACTTTCCTTTATCACGTTTGATTTGAGCGAGTTGACATGGCAGGAGCCAGCTTAGACAGCTGTTGTTGCAATGAGTTGTTCAAGGTTAACTGCTCTTTGTTGTTTTTAATACAGTTTGGTTTATCAAGAAATCTGTACCTTTCCTCAGTCCCCGACGATCTCTAAATTCAAGTTTTCTGATGATTTTAACCTCAAGATGCGAAAAGTAAACAAGCCGTGGTAGCTGCCGCAGTCTCAGTCAATTCGGATGGGTAACGCATCTACTGATGTCGTGAAATATTTACGTGACATTCGTGGTAAATTAAAGTAAACTAAAACATATTGTTCACTTGCTTATATTCCCATGGCTCACAAGAGAGGATATACTTTTAAATTTAGAGTTTGCAGGTGATTTAACATCCATTGAATGTTACTCTGTCTGGTCCATGAAGAAAATTGATAAGACGTGTGTGAATTAAGGCTTCATAACTTAAAAATAGTTTGCATGGTCTTTGCAGAAACCGAACATAAACATCTAAGTCAAAACGACCGACGGTAAAGTCATAGTGTGGGCAGCGAAAACTTTTGGAACTATCACTTGAAGAATTCTTTTTTTTTTCCGGAGTATATTATTTTTATATTTCTGAGACATTAAAGGCAAGAAAAATAAAGCTCAAAATGAAAGTGGCTTCAGTCAAAGGGCTTTCATTAACAGGTCTGTAAATTTTATTCTATTGGGTGTCGACAGGTCTCTGGTTGATGTGCTCCAAAAAAATTCAAGGAGAACACATTCAAATGAATTAAAATTTGACAAAAATCTCCAAGAATCAACAACCTCCTAAAATCTACGGCACGGCAAGTAAGCAAAAAAGTACCTGTACTTAAAACGAAAACTGGCGAATTGGAATCAGCTTTTTAAAAGGAACTCGAGTTCGAATAATATTCGTGGAAATATGAAATAAGCTGAAGTGATGCAGAATCTGATCAAATAAAATTAATTTAAGAGCGCTCCTGTCGTATTTACTTTTTCATAAAACTATTCCTTGGCTGATCCTCATGAATGAAGGGAAAGTCAATAATTCAAAATTAATTGAAATAGCATTGATGAGAAAGCAAACATAGTAAACACTTTCCTTTATCACGTTTTATTTGAGCGAGTTGACATGGTAGGGGCCAGCTTAGACAGCTGTTGTTGCAATGAGTTCTTCAAGGTTAACTGCTCTTTGTTGTTTTTAATACAGTTTGGTTTATCAAGAAATCTGTACCTTTCCTCAGTCCCCGACGATCTCTAAATTCAAGTTTTCTGATGATTTTAACCTCAAGATGCGAAAAGTAAACAAGCCGTGGTAGCTGCCGCAGTCTCAGTCAATTCGGATGGGTAACGCATCTACTGATGTCGTGAAATATTTACGTGACATTCGTGGTAAATTAAAGTAAACTAAAACATATTGTTCACTTGTTTATATTCCCATGGCTCACAAGAGAGGATATACTTTTAAATTTAGAGTTTTCAGGTGATTTAACATCCATTGAATGTTACTCTGTCTGGTCCATGAAGAAAATTGATGAGACGTGTGTGAATTAAGGCTTCATAACTAAAAAATAGTTTGCATGGTCTTTGCAGAAACCGAACATAAACATCTAAGTCAAAACGACCGACGGTAAAGTCATAGTGTGAAGAATTCTAGCTTGATCTTTTCTTTCCGGAGTATATTATTTTTATATTTCTGAGACATTAAAGGCAAGAAAAATAAAGCTCAAAATGAAAGTGGCTTCAGTCAAAGGGCTTTCATTAACAGGTCTGTAAATTTTATTCTATTGGGTGTCGACAGGTCTCTGGTTGATGTGCTCCAAAAAATTCAAGGAGAACACATTCAAATGAATTAAAATTTGACAAAAATCTCCAAGAATCAACAACCTCCTAAAGTCTACGGCACGGCAAGTAAGCAAAAAGTACCTGTACTTAAAACGAAAACTGGCGAATTGGAATCAGCTTTTTAAAAGGAACTCGAGTTCGAATAATATTCGTGGAAATATGAAATAAACTGAAGTGATGCAGAATCTGATAGAGGCCTTAAGATTGGTTTAAGTCGCCCGTTTTTATTTTGAAATAATAATAAAAAGAACAATAACTGCCGGCAAATGCAAATCGTTTGTTACGCCTTCTGAATTGTGGCCAAACGAAAAATAAATTCGTTATTAATCTAACCATGCCATATTTACTTGCACATAAATCTTGATTTAGATAGGGCACTTTAGGTAACAGCTAGTCTCCTTAAATAAGGCAAATATGATCTGATAAGTCAACAACAGCAAATTTAAATTTTTTTTTCTGGAATTGTTATTTTTCTTAGGGTTAGAACTTAGGTCTGATCTGCTTGAAAAGTTCAGCATTTTTTAGTAATTTTTATCTCACCAACGTAAATGTTAGTGAATTAATTCAACTGGGTAGAGTGCCACAAATGACTTAGATATATTCAGCCATTCAATCCTCTGTAAAGAAAGGATCAAGCAGAAGTCATTCTCTTTAATAATTCCATCGAATAGTTTCGCCACGCACTAGGATTGAAACATCTAGCATTTTGACTATGATTTCTTAAATCGTCTGTTGTTGCAAAGAGCATGCGATCTGTTATTATCTAAAAAAATTGTCCAAAACCGATTACTACTCTCTACAGGCTCCTCTATCGTCTAAGCTTTACTCGTGCTGAGTACCGTTTTTCCAGACGATCTCACAGGCTTAAAGACAAACATGAGAGTTAAAAAACACCATTTGGTTATTTACTGGAGAACGATATTTTGCGTTTGGTAACCCTCAAACACTGAAATCAATTTCTAACAACTGACGACAAAGAAACTGAATTGCATTGATAAAATGGTTTGATTCTTTTTTTTATTTGTAACCTTGTCTCTTGAATTTGTTACCACCTGAGTGCAATAGCTATACAAAATAACTCGGGCTTTTCTATCGTTTGCCATGTTTATTTATTCGCTTTTCTTTATCACCGATTTAAAGCAGCTTAAAATACTTAACGGGCCGGTTTTTATCAAATGATAATATGCATTTCGTGATCGGATCACGTCTATAGGATAAGGGTTTTCCGCATCCCGGCCCTTATCGTTAAACTCTTTATCAAATAAAACTTAATTTAAGAGCGCTCCTGTCATATTTACTTTTTCATAAAACTATTCCTTGGCTGATCCTCATGAATAAAGGGAAAGTCAACAATTCAAAATTAATTGCAGAACACATCGTTTTGACACATCGGTGATACCAAGCCACTTCATATTTCGTTAATGGTTTTTCGATTTCCAATTGATCAGCTGTAAAAAAAGAGAATATCAATAGTTGATATTCTCTTGCTTTAAAGGCAGTCAGGTCTATTTAAGGAAGGGCTTCGCACAATATCTTCACTCACAGTGATTCCTGCAACAGCAACTGAAAGCAACATGAAGCTCGCACTGTCCTTGGTTCTTTGCCTGGCATTTGCATTCGTGGTTAATTCCTTGAGAGATGAAGATTTAAGTTTTCTGGAGGACGACTTTTTGAAAGATGAATCTGAAAATAACAAACGCTTTCTTTTCAAGGGGGTAAGTGTTATCTGTGAGCAACGTTCACTCTAGCAAGTCAAGGTAACAAGTTATTAATTAGGTTAAAAAAACGGGTGAAAGTTTTTTGAAAAGAAGAAAACGTTTATCACATCACATATAGACATATATGTTGAGGAGACTGCAGCAAGTTTTTTCAAGGTAGTTTACAAAATAACCATGGTAAACCCAGGCTAAACAGCTTTCTTTTGTCTTCTTGATATAAAGACTTGTGAGTTACAAAATTTAAAATGAACAAACGAGAAATTTGAGGGCCTCTGATAGGTGACTCGCTATTATAGTCCTTCAGCCTGAATGAAATAAAACGCCTCCTCCCATTAAGTATTTACTTCCCTTGAAAGGAAACCCGCTTGTTATTTTTGGTGATTCTCGTCGGTCTACAAGTTTTATAATACCCCGAAAGCACGACAACTAACACAAGCTTTTCTTCGTTCAGCTTTTGTTTTCGCTTTTCGCTGTATGGAAAGCATTGTCTCAGTCAATATTTTTAAGAGCTGTGCCAGCTCCTGCTAATTATAATAACCCTCATAAAACCCTTGACGTCTGTTGATTTTTAGTGTTCCACCGATAAAGACTGTTCGGCTGGTCAGTGCTGTTTCAAAAGAAGATTCGGTTCTAACAAGTGCTTGGGAAGAAAGGGACTGGGCAGGATCTGTCATCCATACTCTGTAAGTAGTGTTCGACTCCTTGAAGCCTAAATAGTCTTGCGGTGGTAGAGTTTGAAGTTCATCAGCTTTTGAATTTCCGATTTAGTGGTGCAGACTGTGTTTCGTCCCAGAGATTTTATTTTCGAAATGATTGTTTGTAGATTGAAATCTTAAAACTTGCCGCATATTGTAACTAGTCAAAACTGATAGTAATAATCCACCCACAATACTTTACTATGCCCCATCGAAATGCGCTCTAAAACACACCTAACCCTTTAATCCCTAAGAATGACCAGCATCTAATTTCTCCTTACAATATCACCCCTGAATCACACATTAAGGTCATGAGAAAAAGGAAAATGATCATCAACTGAAAGAAGCTCTTGATCGTGAAAAAAATTCTCCTTGTCACCACTTAAGGAAATGCATAGAGAACAGTATGGAGAATATGCATTCTGATGTTACGGTGAAAAGGGTCAAGAGCAATGCCACCTTCCCCAAAAAAGTTTTATGCTATTGGTGCTGATATGTTCAAATAAGCACCATAAACCGGTGTGCACCTATAAAATCAGACCCTACCCTCTCAGGCCTATTTAACACATTGGGCTGGTTACACGAGGTCTAATACAAACTGGGGTTTTACGCAAGCGGTGGGCCTTACTTATTCTCTGTAAGAGGGTTGTTTTCATTTAAAAATGTCCTTTGGCTGCCAGCTTTTGGCGTTCTGAACACTGTTAACAAAAAATATATGTTCAAATAAAAAATTCAGCTAAATTGAAGATAGTTTAGAACGCCATTTTGTTAAATAACGTCTAAACTTTGTTTGAATAACTGACTCAATTGTTTTACCTTGATACAGAACTGCTCTTGGAAGTGCCTGGAAGGATTGGTATGTAAAAAGAAACTTGCAATTGGTCATTTCAATTTCTACAAATGCGCTCATCCATAGGGCAGGTCCTGATCCTGATGATGTGGATATGTGAATTAACCATAGTGAAGAGAAACACGACTTTTGACTGTTCAAGAGATTATAAGTTGTTCAGCGTTAAATAAACAGTCATGAATACATGAATTGTGTACCTTCTCTTTATTCAAAAGGGCCGCACACGCAATACCGTGTGAGAAATTCATATCAGTGAGAATTGATTTGTGTCATTTCTCCTCGCCCTCAAAAAAGAATTCATGTCAGCTACGCATGCCACTCAAGTTTTGTAATTGCAATACGCAGTCAACCCGGGGTTCAATAGAAATTTTCATTTCCTCCCTCTGGAATTGGGCATGTATAAATGGTAATTAAAATAGAGACATTTATCAGTGATAGCAGCAAGTGATTCTGCCAATTTAACTTATGATCTTGGTATCTTTTAGTGTATCTTTCTGAATTTCTTATTCAATTCGAAACTCTTACATGGGAACTCTATAAACTGAGGAAGTGATAGCCAGTAAATTTGAGCAATACCAAGTGTTTGTTCACCTGCAAACATTGAATTCATTTTTGGTGGAATTTGTTTTCAATATAACATGAAAAACAATATCGAGCAGGCAATGAAAGGTGCAATATGAACCGTTTGTTCTTTTTAGAGTTACCAATCTTTGGGGAAGAAATATGAAAAATTATATCCTTTTAAAATGTAGAAACGGAAATGAAATTTAAAATGCGAAATTACCTTGTGAATTTTTTACCGCCAAATGCGTCAGCCATCCAAATTAACTAAGACTATATCAGAAGCTGCAGCTATTCGTTTGCTGCTTTTGTTCTCAGGGGTGAAAGTCATCAACACAATTTCAATACATCATCACAGCACTGATGCGTTGAGCGTCGACAAAGTTATCTTGATATAAATTAAATTCTCTTTACCTACTTACAAGGATTTGTGTGTAACCAAGAGTGGAGAGTCTGTAGTTAAATATTTCGGGTTACACGGGTACGAAGACCATGAAATGCTTCAGGGATCTAGGAACCTTGGTATGCGTTTGTCAAAATAAAGGCAAGGTAAGACCATATGATATTTGAAAGAACTGAAAACCGTTAACAGACTTTGCATCCAAACTATGGACCCCGATCGCATGAACTCGCGATCAAATCAAAATCAACGACATGGTTGCTATCTCATAAAAGCTGTTCTTTGATCGGGAGTCTTGTAATAAGGGAAGAGCCAGATGACACGTCGTTTTTGCTCGTTAGTGTTTCATTGCGAGTGCGTCAGTTGGAGAGCGGTATCACATCATTTCTTCATCTATAGTGGTCTCGTGTCAGAAGCGACGACATGAAATTTGACTTGTTTTTGCTTCTGTGCCCAGCGTTTGCCTTCTTAGTTTATTCGTCTGCGGAAGAAAACTTTCTGGAAGACGAGTTTCAAATTATAAGCGCTTTTGATCTTTTAAAAAGAAGGTAAGTGCCCTCTGTTGGCAAAGTTTAACTGTAAAAGTAACTAACTTAAAGGTTTCACTTCGGCTTGGTAACAAGAAGACAAATAATTTTTGTAACCATAGTCATATTTAAAAGTAAGTAAACTTGTCCTCTTAAGGAGGTTTTACACTCTGGATCACTTCTCAGCACAGTAATAAACTGTCATTTTAAACACCTTCCAGTTGACGTCAAAGGTTTTGTGTTGATATAAAGAATTATCTTAAAACTACAAGGCCGACTTTTTATTAACCACAAAATTTAAACAGTGAAACTGTCCTAAGATATTGCTTGATATTCTAACCAACAAATACAGAGCTTCTAATAAAATTAACTATGTTAAATCATACTCTTTCTAAATATGTGCTATTTACGAAAGCGATTTCATTACATGGTCTACATTGTGACTGGTGTATCGCCACCTGCTTCTGTTTATTGCATGGACATCATCCAGGACTAAACATGTCCTTGAATCTATTCTACTGTTTAATGTCCAGCGATGTTCCAGCGATGCAGACTGTTAGAAAGGGTGCTGTTTGAAAAGCTAGGTTTCTCCTGGTGCAGAGATGAGAAGAAAGAGGGCAGCCTCTGTCATCCTCGCTCTGTAAGTACAACTAGACCTTTGCAAATTTACATAATAAGTCAAGAGTGTGCACTACCGCAAACCAGTACTGTTGTAGACTCGTCATGTCAGAGGTGGGCTCCCCTCGGAAAGAAAATCAAGAATTTGAAACATTGAACTGGTTTGACCAACAAAAAGATATAGGAACCGATCATAATTAGGTGGTTGTGGTTTGCAAAATAATCAATCGATAAGTGCGCCTTTTATTTTAATTCTCCGGTAAGTCGAAGGTCACTCACGTTGCATGATAGGACTAAAATATGGTACGTATGTTTTACTTTTAAATAGACCTGCTTTTCGAAATGCAAGGAGGCACTTGAGTGTAAAAAATCCGCATTAATCCCTCACAAATGCGTCGAGCCAACCCTTCCACCACCAGAGGAATCAGGTTCTGGAGAAATCGAAGTGTAGACAGATGGCTAGTACGTCTGTCAATGAATTGACAAATAATTTATGGCTCCTGACTGGGGTTCCATAAGTTGTTAATTATTAGATGGACAGTTCTAAGCAATATGAATGAATCGGGAATTTTTTTTTACTGGAAAACGCGATTTTTATAATCAGTTGTGGGAAATACCCGTTGAAGAGACTTTGTGCGTGATTTTTTCTTCTTGTCCCTCGACCCGGTGCTGTCTTAACGTGTGATTTATGTAAGCGTCGTATGTTCTTACTTACGCAGTAACGCGTCAGAGTTTGTGAATCTTGCAAAAATTAACAGAATTTATTAGTTTCGTCAGTTTCAGTCTTTGTTAATCTACTTCAATCTTAATCCTCTAGAGTGACAAGCATCTTATTTCTTCTTACAAACTCACTCCTGAATCACACATTGTGGTCAGGAGAGCAGAGATATCGATCACCAACCTAGGATACTCTTACGAATTCTCCTCGTCAGCATCCAAGGAAATGCATAGAGGACAGTTTGGAGAATATGCATTCTGATATATTGGTGCAAAGGGTCAACCATCTTCGTTCCCTATTGGTTTATTTTTACTTCTCTTGTTTTCGTCTCAATTAGCAAAAGTGTTTTAACCCTTTACACCCTATCGTCATTATGCATTTTATCTTTGCTGTTCTCTATACATTTCCCAAGGTGCTAACAAGGAGAGTTTGTTGAACAATCAGGAGCTTCTTTAGTTGGTGATCATTTCCTTTATTCCCACGACTTCAATGTGTGATTCAAGGGGTGATATTGTAAGGAGAAATTAGACGCTGGTCGTTCTTAGGGGTTATAGGGTTAAGGCGTCCTTTTCAAAAGCATTAGCCTATTGCTCAAAACCTCGTGAGCTCACTTAGTAGAACTCATCACGCCTAATATCCTCAGAATTTTTCTAGGGGGAAAGGAAATTGATTTTACCCCTTCTGAATAATGTGCACCAGACATTCAAATGAAAAAGCGAAATAGTAGATGTGTGTATGCTTGCAGTTGCAGATGACAGGCACTCGTCTAGTCATGAGATAGGATTTAAAAGCTATCTTGAGGGAGCTGGAACAAAGCGAACTAACATTTTTTCCTAGCCCTAACAGTTCTACAAAATAGAACTGTGATACGACCGTGTTATTTTGTCTAAAAAAAAAAAGAGGATCTTTATGACTAGACGGAAATCTAGATAAATTTAAGGCCGGTAAAGAAAGATCTTTCGACGCCACATGCCCTGTTATTGGCCTTGGATGCGCCATTGCACATTGTATCAGTGAGGCAACCGCAACGTCATCCCTAACATGAATAAGATTTTGAAGAAAAGAAAAACACCCTCAGCTGGCTCAGATGTGAATGCAACCTCTAAATATTCTGAACACGTGAACAAAAACATATTGCCTTTTTCTGCTACAGGGATCGACTGCGAGTAGAATGATTCGGGAAGCGCTTTCTTAAATAGAACAGTGTGCGTTTTATACAGCTGATCAATTATAAAACGGAAATTCATTTTTGAGAAAAGGCAGTGGCTCGGTATCACTAAGGTGTAAGAACTATGTGCT